AGGAACTGAAAAATCTGAAACAGCCTAAAGAACTAAAGAACATTTTGGGATTGATAACAGAGACTGCTACCTCAGCCACAAATAAGGGGACTGTAGGGAAAGAAGGGGCACAACTGCATGGAGATGCTCTATCAGAGGAGACTGTAGTAAATGAAAGAGCTAAGCTTTATGTGGAGGCCCTAACAGACAACAACAGAGCCCAAGGAAAGCCGAGAAGGGAAAATGACAGGCCACTGAGCCCAAGTACATTAGCCAGTGAAACTGAAGAAAGGAAAGCTGCAGTGCAGGAAACCAAATTAAATGAGGGGATACACAGGGATACACAGTGGGAGAATGAAAAGGTGAGGTCAGTCTTTGTGTATGGGCTCCAGGAAGTTGAAGGGGAAACATATGAAGCAAGAAAACAAGGGAAAAAAAAAGCAATTGAAAGCATCATGAAAGCAATAGGAGAAGACGACATGACCCAGCTGGAAAATTTTCGGAGAATAGGGGGGTTTGTAAAAAAAAGAACCCGGCCAGTGAAAGTGACTTTCAAGGCAGAAGCGACTCGGACCAGGATCCTGCAGGAGAAAGCACGATTAAGGGACATGCCGGCATACAGGAAGGTGTATCTCGACCGCGACAGAACACAAGAAGAAAGGCAGAAACTGAGAAGAGATGTACAAAGGCGAAAGGAGGAAAGAGAGAGGATGGAGAAGACAGACAGGAGATCCCAGACCCAGGAAGAAGATCAAATACAGCCTCCCTCACAACTTCCTATAGAAGCCTCCCAACCAGGTCAACCCCAGTGCAACCAAACACTCTAAATCAAAACACCCATGCCACATCCAATGCCCCCACCCACTTCATTACAAACTCCACCCCCACAGCAACAACCAATAGTTCCTTACCAGGTCTCCCACTTCCCCAACCCCAATACACCTCCCAGACCACAGTCTTAGAAAAGAAGTTGAAGGTGTGGTATACAAATGCAGATGGAATAATAAACAAGTATGAGGAGTGGCACGAAAGAATCAAAGAGACATCCCCAGACATAATAGCACTCACAGAAACAAAACACACCAGAATAATAACAGATTCAATCTTTCCATCCGGATACCAAATCCTCAGGAAAGACAGAGGGAGGAGAGTGGGAGGAGGAGTTGCACTGCTCATTAAAAACCAGTGGGATTTTGAGATAATGGAAGGAATGGATGGCATGGGCGAAAGGGACTACTTAGTAGGAACAATCCAGTCTGAGGGACATAAGGTGATAATTGCAGTAATGTACAACCCACCACAGAACTGCAGGAGGCCAAGAGAAGAATACAATGAGAGCAACAGAGCAATGATCGACACACTAGCCGAGGTGGCCAGGAGAGCACACATGGTGGGAGCAAAGTTACTAGTTATGGGTGATTTCAATCACAAGGAGATTGACTGGGAAAACCTGGAGCCCCATGGGGGTCCCGAAACATGGAGAGCCAAGATGATGGATGTGGTACTGGAAAACCTCATGCATCAACATGTTAGAGACACTACCAGAGAGAGGAGAGGATGAACCAGCAAGGCTGGACCTTGTATTCACCATGAGTAGTTCGGACATCAAGGGTATCACGTATGAAAGGCCCCTGGGAGCTAGTGATCATGTGGTTCTGTGCTTCGACTACATAGTTGAGCTCCAAGTGGAGAGAGTAGCAGGAATAGGGTGGGAAAAACCAAACTACAAAAGGGGGAACTACTCAGGCATGAGGAACTTCCTTCAAGACATTCAGTGGGAGAGGGAACTGACAGGAAAACCAGTACAGAGAATGATGGACTATGTAGCAACAAAATGCAAGGAGGCAGAGGAGAGGTTTGTTCCCAAGGGAAACAGAAATAATGGGAAGAACAGAACGAGTCCTTGGTTCACCCAAAGGTGTAGGGAGGCAAAAACTAGGTGTACTAGAGAATGGAAAAAGGTACAGAAGACAGAGAACTCAGGAAAAAAAGAAATCAGCCGAAGAGCGAGAAACGAATATGCACAGATAAGAAGGGAGGCTCAGAGACAATATGAAAATGACATAGCATCAAAAGTAAAGACTGACCCGAAGCTGTTTGTACAGCCACATCAGGAGGAAAACAACAGTCAAGGACAGGTAATCAGGACTGAGGAAGGGTGATGGGGAATTCACAAGAAACGACCAAGAGGTATGTCAGGAGTTCAACACAAGATTTAAAGAGGTATTTACAGTGGAAAGCAGTAGGACTCCAGGAAATCAGAACAGGGGGGCACACCAGCAAGTGCTGGATGAGGTACATATAACCAAGGAGGAGGTGAAGAAGCTGCTATGCGAACTTGACACCTCAAAGGCGGTGGGACCAGACAACATCTCTCCATGGGTCCTTAAAGAGGGAGCAGAGATATTGTGTGAGCCATTAACAAAGATCTTCAACACATCATTTGAAACTGGGCAACTCCCTGAGGTATGGAAAATGGCAAATGTAGTCCCAGTTTTTAAAAAGGGAGACAGACATGAGGCACTAAACTACAGACCTGTATCACTAACGTGTATAGTATGCAAGGTCATGGAGAAGATCATCAGGAGGAGAGTGGTGGAGCACCTGGAAAGAAACAAGTGTATAATTGACAATCAGCACTGTTTGAGGGAAGGAAAATCCTGTGTCACAAACCTACTAGAGTTTTATGACAAGGTGACAGAAGTAATACGAGAGAGAGGGGTGGATCGACTGCATATTTTTTGACTGCAAGAAGGCCTTCGACACAGTTCCTCACAAGAGGTTACTGCAAAAGCTAGAGGATCAGGCACACATAACAGGAAAGGCACTGCAATGGATCAGAGAATACCTGGCAGGGAGGCAACAACGAGTCATGGTACGCGACGAGGTGTCAGAGTGGGCGCCTGTGACAAGCGGGGTTCCACAGGGGTCAGTCTTGGGACCTGTGCTGTTCTTGGTATATTTGAACGACATAATGGAAGGGATAGACTCAGAAGTGTCCTTGTTTGCAGATGATGCGAAGTTAATGAGAAGAATCAAATCGGATGAGGATCAGGCAGGACTACAAAGAGACCTGGACAGGCTACAAGCCTGGTCCAGCAACTGGCTCCTTGAATTTAACCCTGCCAAATGCAAAGTCATGAAGATTGGGGAAGGGCAAAGAAGACCGCAGACACAATATAGTTTAGATGGCCAAAGACTGCAAACCTCACTCAAGGAAAAAGATCTGGGGTGAGCATAACACCGAGCATATCTCCTGAGGCGCACATCAATCAGATAACTGCTGCAGCATACGGGCGCCTGGCAAACCTACGGATAGCATTCCGATACCTCAGTAAGGATTCGTTTAAGACTCTGTATACCATTTACGTCAGACCCATACTGGAGTATGCAGCACCAGTTTGGAATCCACACCTAGTCAAGCACGTCAAGAAATTAGAGAAAGTGCAAAGGTTTGCAACAAGACTAGTCCCAGAGCTACGGGGATTGTCCTACGAAGAAAGGTTGAGGGAAATCGGCCTGACGACACTGGAGGACAGGAGGGTCAGGGGAGACATGATAACGACATATAAAATACTGCACGGAATAGACAAGGTGGACAAAGACGGGATGTTCCAGAGAAGGGGCACAGACACAAGAGGTCACAATTGGAAGTTGAAGACTCAGATGAATCAAAGGGATGTTAGGAAGTATTTCTTCAGTCATAGAGTAGTCAGGCCGTGGAATAGCCTAGAAAGTGACGTAGTGGAGGCGGGAACCATACATAGTTTTAAGGCGAGGTATGATAGAGCTCATGGGGCAGGGAGAGAGAGGACCTAGTAGCAATCAGCGAAGATGTGGGGCCAGGAGCTGTGAATCGACCCCTGCAACCACAAATAGGTGAGTACACACACACACACATACACACATACATAGATACATACACACACACACACACACACACACACACACAGGGCCAGGAGCTTGGACTCGACCCCTGCAACCTCAACTAGGTGAGTACACACACACACACACACACACACACAACAGGCCTAGTGTCTAATCGACATGTGCCTAGGACAAAATGGTAACTAACAACTGCTGCAGCATATGGGCGCCTGGCAAACCTGAGAATAGCGTTCCGATACCTTAGTAAGGGATCGTTCAAGACACTATACACCGTATACGTCAAGCCCACACTGTAGTATGCAGCATCAGTTTGGAACCCACACCTAGTCAAGCACGTCAAGAAATTAGAGAAAGTGCAAAGGTTTGCAACAAGGCTAAAGAAAGGTTATATAACGAGTTTATTTGGTGAGCTGAAAGCGGGGCGGGTGTTCAGTGAAAAGCGTCTTCGGAGGCTTCTTACTTTATTTGCAAAGTCTTGGTGGGTACACAGGCTTGTGTGTTGTGCCCATGGCCCGGTAGGGCCGTGCCCACGAGGGAGAGAGCTGCTAGGCCGCTGAGTGAGTGAGAGCGTGTGGGTCCAGCGTCCCACTGACTTTGGGCAGGCCCAGAGGGCAGCACCTTAGTGGCGCAAAATATGAACTAAGCTGGCAGACAGTGCAGGCTGTCTACATTTAAGGGAAATCGGCCTGACGACACTAGAGGACAGAGCGGTTAGGGGAGACATGATAAAGTGGACAGAGACAGGATATTCCAGGGAGGGGACACAGAAGCAAGAGCGGTCACAATTGGAAGTTGAAGACTCAGATCAGTCAGAGGGATGTTAGGAAGTATTTCTTCAGTCATTAGAGTTGTCAGGAAGTGGAATAGTCTAGCAAGTGATATAGTGGAGGCAGGAACCATACTTAGCTTCAAGACGAGGTTTGATAAAGCTCATGGAGCAGGGAGAGAGAGGACCTAGTAGCGATCAGTGAAGAGGCGGGGCCAGGAGCTGAGTCTCGACCCCTGAAACCACAATTATGTAAGTACACAGGCAACATTCACATATGTAAGTACACTCTCAGTCCATAACTGCTTCCGCCGCCAGCCGAGCGACAGTTTGGAGTATTGTTTAAACTTCTCGAGTTTATTTCCAGGTGTGTGGGCCAACCTGCCGCCTTCGTTCACCGCTGACATGAACCTTCACGTAGTAAGCGAGGACACGCCCGTAGGGGCGGCGGTGTACACCCTGAAGGCTTCGGATCCTGAGGGAGGGCCCGTCACTTTCGGCATGAGCGGCTCCGACCGACTCCGGGTGGATCCGGACACCGGCATCGTTACCGTCGCGAAGCCACTGGACCGAGAGGTGGGTTCAAATGCTCTTTATTTTTGTTGCTCTTGTTATTATGAGAACTGGATACACTGTTGTATGAGACAGTTGTATGGGACAGTTGTATGGTGGGCACAAAAGCTAGCCATGTTTATTCCCTGTCATGTTACGTCACACAGGATGGGTCAGGGTGGGTCTCGTGTATACCTAGCGTTAAAGTCGCTCAGGGAAAGATTAATGAAGGGAGGAATGCGTGTAGGAAAGAATGAGTAAATGGAAGAAGGAATGAGTGAACGGAAGGACAAATGAATGAATAGAAGAAGAAATAGGAGAATGGAACGTACAGTGAATCATTGGACAGTGGAATACAATTTTTTTTTTAATTTAGCAAAATTAGACACAACAGTGTGCTGCTACTCTATTCTGTATGATAGTTACACAGTGGGAACCAAAGCTAACTATTTGTACCTGTCATATTCCATCATGAAGGATGTGTTACATACAGTGTTGAAATCTGTCAGTCTGAGCTGGCAGACTATGGTAGTGTCAGCATGAACTGGGAGATTTCAGTAGTGTCAGTCTGAGCTGGGAGACTTCAGTAGTGTCAGTCTGAGCTGGGAGACTTCAGTAGTGTCAGTCTGAGCTGGGAGACTTCAGTAGTGTCAGTCTGAGCTGGGAGACTTCAGTAGTGTCAGTCTGAGCTGGGAGACTTCAGTAGTGTCAGTCTGAGCTGGGAGACTTCAGTAGTGTCAGTCTGAGCTGGGAGACTTCAGTAGTGTCAGTCTGAGCTGGGAGACTACAGTAGTGTCAGTCTGAGCTGGGAGACTTCAGTAGTGTCAGTCTGAGCTGGGAGACTTCAGTAGTGTCAGTCTGAGCTGGGAGACTTCAGTAGTGTCAGTCTGAGCTGGGAGACTTCAGTAGTGTCAGTCTGAGCTGGGAGACTTCAGTAGTGTCAGTCTGAGCTGGGAGACTACAGTAGTACTTCAGCAGGGCACTGAAGGTATCGTCAGGTATTCCATTAAAGGTTCATCAGCAACAAGTGCTTAGGTGTCGGTGGAATACAAAATGATTGAAGGTTGTAAGACTGAAGAGAATGGAAGGTTGTAGTGAAAGATTGTAAGACTGAGGAATGTGAGGAAGGTCCACCAGTATATGAATGGTAGTGGGGAAGATTTGAGCAATGAATATAACATGGAAAAGCATCAAGTATATATATATATATATATATATATATATATATATATATATATATATATATATATATATATATATATATATATATATATTATATATATATATATATATATATATATATATTACTTTTCCTAGGTAGTAGGTTGGTAGACAGCAACCGCCCAGGGAGGTACTACCGTCCTGCCAAGTGAGTGTAAAACGAAAGCCTGTAATTGTTTTACATGATGGTAGGATTGCTGGTGTCCTTTTTTCTGTCTCATGGACATGCAAAATTTCAGGTACGTTTTGCTACTTCTACTTACACTCAGGTCACACTACACATACATGTACAAGCGTATATATACATAACCCTCTGGGTTTTCTTCTATTTTCTTTCTAGTTCTTGTTCTTGTTTATTTCCTCTTATCTCCATGGGGAAGTGGAACAGAATTCTTCCTCCGTAGGCCATGCGTGTTGTAAGAGGCGACTAAAATGCCGGGAGCAAGGGGCTAGTAACCCCTTCTCCTGTATATATTACTAAATTTGAAAGGAGAAACTTTGGTTTTTTCTTTTGGGCCACCCCGCCTCGGTGGGATACAGCCGGTGTGTTGAAAGAAAGAAAGATATATATATATATATATTTTATATATATATATATATATATATATATATATATATATATATATATATTATATATATATATATATATATATATATATGTGTGTGTGTGTGTATATATATATGTATATATATATTAACACACCGGCCGTATCCCACCGAGGCGGGGTGGCCCAAAAGGAAAAACGAAAGTTTCTCCTTTTACATTTAGTAATATATACAGGAGAAGGGGTTACTAGCCCCTTGCTTCTGGCATTTTAGCCGCCTCTTACAACAGGCATGGCTTATGGAGGAAGAATTCTGTTCCACTTCCCCATGGAGGTAAGAGGAAATAAACAAGAACAAGAACTAGTAAGAAAATAGAAGAAAAACCCAGCAGGGTGTGTATATATATGTTTGTACATGTATGTGTAGTGTGACCAAAGTGTAAGTAGAAGTAGCAAGATGTACCTGAAACCTTGCATGTTTATGAGACAGAAAAATGGACACCAGCAATCCTACTATCATGTAAAACAATTACATTATTATTATTATAATCAAGGGGGAAGCGCTAAACCCGGAGGATTATACAGCGCCTGGGGGGGGGGATGTGGAAGGCATTCAGGCTTAATTCGGGGAACTGGAGCACAGATCCAATTCCCTAAATCAAGAGCCCCTCACCAACATCAAGGAACCTTCCTTGAGGGGTAAAACAATTACAGGCTTCCGTTTTACACTCACTTGGCAGGACGGTAGTACCTCCCTGGGCAGTTGCTGTCTACCAACCTACTACCTAGGATATGTATATATATATCCTAGGGGTGTTAATGTTGCAGTTTAAAAACTGTAGTGTAAAGCACCCTTCTGGCAAGACAGTGATGGAGTGAATGAAGGTGAAAGTTTTTCTTTTTCGGGCCACCCTGCCTTGGTGGGAATCGGCCAGTGTGATAATAAAATAAAATAAATATATATATATATATATATATATATATATATATATATATATATATATATATATATATATATATATATATATATATATATATATATATATATATATATATATATATTTATATTTCTATTTCTATGTGTGGGTTATTCACTGCTCGTAGGATATATAGCAATTGTGATGGACTCTGTTGGAGATTTTTAACTTTGTTCATTAGGTACTTAGGTTCATGTTATTTATGTATTATTCTAGCCATGGCATTGTGACTCTTTAGTCAATATATGTGTAACTTGTCATCGATAACCGCCCCAAAAAATGTCAAGGTGACTTCCATTGCAATCCTTGTAATACCTGCTAACTACAGGAGGGTCCTAGGTGGCCCGGTGGCCTGGTGGCTAAAGCTCCCGCTTCACACACGGAGGGCCCGGGTTCGATTCCCGGCGGGTGGAAACATTTCGACACGTTTCCTTACACCTGTTGTCCTGTTCACCTAGCAGCAAATAGGTACCTGGGTGTTAGTCGACTGGTGTGGGTCGCATCCTGGGGGACAAGATTAAGGACCCCAATGGAAATAAGTTAGACAGTCCTCGATGACGCACTGACTTTCTTGGGTTATCCTGGGTGGCTAACCCTCCGGGGTTAAAAATCCGAACGAAATCTTATCTTATCTTAATCTTATCTTGTCCCGCTTCTACAGCAGGTTAGGTTCCGGGATATAATTGAAAATCGCTGTATTAGCGAAACGCTGTAAAGCGGGACCTGACTGTACTAGGTCAAACTAATGCCTAGGTTCCGCTGGCTAGTAGTCGTGAACTATATAACCTTAATTCATGGATGATGAAGACACATTTTGTTATTTTGTGTGTTTATCCCCCAGCAAAATGACACATTACGTCTGGTGGTGACGGTGGAAGATGAGGTGAAGGGAGGAGCTGAGAATAATGTCGTCCGTGTGCCCATCTCTCTCATTGTCCTTGACACCAATGATAACTCTCCCAAATTCCTTCAGGTAAGTCCACGTTTCTCTTACCAGTATAGTTTTGGAACTTTGATAGTACTCGACCAATAGTTAATCTTAAGTATTTCTCATGATTCTTCTCGTCTCTTAATAAGCCTTATTTAATTTGCATAGGAACTACAATTTCGTCCTTTACAAACTGTCCTAACGTTGATCTACGTCTTCACTGGCAGAACTACGAATATTTAAAAAAAAAATATTTAATTAAAAAAAAGAAGGCAATTTTCTGTATGTAATAAGACCCCAAATTTTTTTTTTTGGAACTGGATGCTCACCTGTCAGAAATATGGAGTCTTGTTGCTTGCTGTAATATTGCAGATATACCTTTTTTCCTCATTTTTTTTAATTTACGTAATTTTTATGTTCTGATAATTACAATTTATAGCAGTTCTTGTGATTTTATATCTGTTTTGGCACTAATGTTAGGTACTGAAATAGTAATCAAATAGTCACAAACCCACTGACAGGTGAACATTTTCACCTGTCTTGGTCACATAATATTGTCCAGAAATAAATGCAAATTATTTGTAGGCCCCAGCAATATTTTTTGAAGTACTGGAGTATGAAACACCTAGGCATGGTGTCAGACAAGAGTGTCACTCTACACTGCTGATGGTGCACTTAGTATTGCTGAATGTGCACTGCTCCCAGTAAACCTTGGCATGTTTTTTTTTTTATGTTCTGACTTTTACACATAAACATGTCTGTCTAGCTCTGTCTGTTTACCTCTGTCTGCCTGTGTCTCTCTCTCAGAGAGACAGGATTGTCATGTCTGATTCCTGAACAAGTGGAAATGTGTATTAGTTGCCAGTCATGCTTATGCATCATGTCTACAAGCACAGTATAGCACTGTCTTTTTTGGGGTTATCCTAACCCTACAATACCCTAACCATACAATAGAGCAAAAAAGTAATGTGAAGGACCTGGGAGTGATATTGTCAGAGGATCTCGCCTTCAAAGACCACAACAATGTATCTACCTCATCTGCTAGGAAAATGATAGGATGGATAATGAGAACCTTCAAAACTAGGGACGCCAAGTCCATGATGATTCTCTTCAAATCGCTTGTGCTCTCTAGGCTGGAATACTGCTGTTCACTAACGGCCCCCATCAACGCTGGTGACATTGCAGACCTGGAGAGTGTACAAAGAACTTTCACGACACACACAAGTGCGATAATGCACCTAAACTACTGGGAATGGTTGAAGGTCCTTGATCTGTATTCCCTGGAACACAGGCAAGAGAGATACATGATAATATACACTTGGAAGGTGCTGGAGGGATTGGTACCAAACCTGCACATGAAAATCACTCCATATGAAAGCAAAAGACTCGGCAGGAGATGCAACATTTCCCTGATGAAAAGCAGGGGTGCCACGAGTACTTTGAGAGAACACAATAAGTGTCCGGGGCCCAAGACTGTTCAATTGCCTGCCAGCATACATAAGGGGGATTACCAATAGACCCCTGGCTGTCTTCAAGAAGGCACTGGACAGGCACCTAAAGTCAGTACCTGACCAACCGGGCTGTGGTTCGTACGTCAACTTGCATGCGGCCAGCAGTAACAGCCTGGTTGATCAGACCCTGATCCACTATGAGACCTGGTTCCAGACCGGGCCATGGGGGCGTTGACCCCCAAATCCCTCTCCAGGTAAACCCCAGGTATCCTAAGTAATTTACACTGTATGACAATTGTACTTGTGTGTACCGTGCCTAAATAAATAAACTTACTTTGTCCTTGATTCTGGTTTATGAGCGGTTCAGGCAGAGAGAGAGACAAAGAGATAGAGTCAGAGATACAGAGTGAGCGCCTGCCCGCCCGCCCACCTGCCTGCCCTATCATGTCAAATTTGGAGGCAGGAAAAATAAAACTTAAATCTACGTTTGGAGTGCTAGCAGTAACAACGTAGATCAATGTTTGGACAGTTATGGGGTGAATGATTTGGTATGAATGGTCTTAAAATTCCACGTTTAATTTAATTAATTTTAACGATGTTGAATGTTATTTCTATAAGAGAAATTTATGGTACTAACCCTTTCAAGTTAATTTTTAAAGGGGGTGGACTGGTAAGCCAGTGGAAGGCCTCTGTCAGATGAACAAAAGCTCCAGAGGTGGGTCATCACGTAACTAAGACCCGCATCAGGAAACACTTGTCCTGTTTTCTGACAGCATTACCTAAGCTAACCTTAACTTCCTTGGCAGACACCATACGAGGCCATGGTTGGTGAAGATGCTGCTGTGGGTAGTACTGTCCTGCCGGGCATTAGACTCGTAGACGAGGACCAGGTTGGGGACAACATCAAAGTGGAATGCGAGCCCATTAGTCAGGTAAGTTGTATAAGATGGGGGCGGGGTGCCATTTTGAGAATTTTAGACTAGGTACTCTTTCTCATTTCACAGTCACTCATATTGCAAAGAACACTGTGGTGCAAAAGGAGGTGACCTGACTATGATCTGGTACATGCTGGTAGCTGCATATAGAACTACAGTGGACCCCGGTTATCGGTCGTAATCCGTTCCAGAAGGTCAGCCGATAACCGAAATGGCCGAAAACTGAATTAATATTTCCCACAAGAATTAATGGAAATACAATTAATCCGTTCCGAACAAAAATATTCACAAAAACAATTTTTTTAACAATTATGTAAGTGTTACATACCTTTATTGAAGGCTAATGCTGACTTCTGGAAGATACGGAGGAGTTAGTATTTGGAAGGGGAATCCCCCTCCATAAAGACTTTAGGCAGTAAAGCCTTAAGAACATAAGAACATAAGAAAGGAGGAACACTGCAGGAGGCCTGTTGGCCCATACTAGGCAGGTCCTTTACAATTCATCCCACTAACAAAACATTTGCCCAACCCAATTTTCAATGCCACCCAAGAAATAAGCTCTGATGTGAAAGTCCCACTCAAATCCAACCCCTCCCACTCATGTACTTATCCAACTTAAATTTGAAACTACCCAAAGTCCCAGCCTCAATAACCCAACTGGGTAGACTGTTCCACTCATCAACTACCCTATTTCCAAACCAATACTTTCCTATGTCCTTTCTAAATCTGAACTTATCTAATTTAAATCCATTACTGCGGGTTCTCTCTTGGAGAGACATCCTCAAGACCTTATTAATATCCCCTTTATTAATACCTATCTTCCACTTATACACTTCGATCAGGTCTCCCCTCATTCTTCGTCTAACAAGTGAATGTAACTTAAGAGTCTTCAATCTTTCTTCATAAGGAAGATTTCTAATGCTATGTATTAATTTAGTCATCCTACGCTGAATGTTTTCTAATGAATTTATGTCCATTCTGTAATATGGAGACCAGAACTGAGCTGCATAATCTAGGTGAGGCCTTACTAATGATGTATAAAGCTGCAGTATGACCTCTGGACTTCTGTTGCTTACACTTCTTGATATAAATCCCAGTAATCTATTTGCCTTATTACGTACGCTTAGGCATTGCTGTCTTGGTTTAAGGTTGCTGCTCACCATAACCCCCAAGTCCTTTTCGCAATCTGTATGGCTAAGTTCTACATCATTTAACTTATAAGTACTAGGGTTATGGGCACTCCCAAGCTTCAGAACCTTGCATTTATCTACATTGAACTGCATCTGCCACTTTTCTGACCAAGAATAGAGTTTGTTTAAATCCTCCTGAAGTTCCATAACATCTACGTTTGAATCAATTATCCTACCTATCTTTGTGTCATCGGTGAATTTGCTCATAGTCATCGGCGAATTTACTTCCCTTCTGTCTTTTAATGCCACTAGGACCAGCTTGAGAGTCGCTGGACCCCTGTCTCACAAAATAACTGTCCAGAGTGCTCTGTTTCTGGCATCTCTTTAAGATTTCCTTGAAGTGGGACAGGGTTTTGTCACTAAACATGTTGCAGATATGGCTTGTTTCAGCTTTGTCAGGGTGGTGTTTCTCTACAAAAGCTTGCACCCTAGTCCACATTGCACACACACCTCTTTAATGTAGGTCCTGTTTGGCATTTTCTTCCAAGACAGGCCTGTTTCATCACAATTGAACACTTGTTGGGGTTTGAATCCTTCAGCCTTTACATAGTCCTGGAATTTGTGAACATACTTTTCAGCCGCACATTTGTCAGAACTTGCAGCCTCACCATGCCTTACAACACTGTGTATGCCACTACGCATCTTAAATCTATCAAACCATCCTTTGCTGGCCCTAAATTCACAAACTGCAGCACTTGTTCCAGGCATTTTCTTTGCAAGATCCTCATGCAACTGCCTTGCCTTCTCACAAACAATAGACTCCACAACACTGTCTCCCACTAATTCTTTTTCCTTAATCCACAATAATAATAACTTTTCATCTCTTCCATTATTGGTGGCCTTTGTTTAGGTAGAAAAGCTACTCCTTTTGCAACATTAGCATCTTTGATTTGTTCTTTCTTTGCCAGGATGGATGTAATTGTTGATTTATTCTTGCTATACATCCTGGCAAGTCCCACCACTTTCAAGCTTTTCTATCACTTCATGCTTAAATTCCATGGTGTTTCACACTTTCTTTACCAGAGGAACTTTCTTTGGAGTCATGGTTACTTATTTCACACTTGCACTGCAAAAAAAAAACTAAAAACAATGGAAAACAAGCAAAATGTTTGGATGTATGAGCAGAAGCTTCCTCAGCCACCGAGAGACAAAGCCAAACTGATGCTCAAGTGGCCCCAGCCGGCGGATGGACGTGTCCCAAATGGCCGATAACCGGGCGCTGAAAAACCGGCCGATAACCGAGTTGGCCGATAACAGAACCGGCTGATAACCGGGGGTCCAGTGTAATTAAACTGTTTATGCAGAAGCAACAGAGGCTATCAGCCCCTCTGGCTGAGCCCCTAAAGTCCCTCAAGGGGCTGAGTGGGCTGAAATCCACTTCCTGGAGAATTTTCTCCATAGGTCAGCCTACCAGTTGAGGAGGTTACCAATCTGTAAATTGGCAAGACACTTGTGTTTAGGGCATGTTTGAAAATTTATAAGTGCTGTAGCTTATTATACCTAATTCATAGGACTGAGAAATTTCCTGGGTAGGCTGAACTGAAATGACCTGACAGTGGGTCAGATTGGTGGTGATGGTTGCTAATATGACTTTTTCAGAGAATAGTTCTAACTGCTCAGACAACTTATGTTCCAAATAGGGAAATTAGATAATAAGAAAATGATTCTAAATGGGTAAAGAATAGATTAAAACATCTCATTGGTCAAAAGAAAGGCATATACATGTATAGGCAAATCAGAAGATGGGAGGGGCAGTTAAGAAAGCAATATATTCAGCTAAAGAGAGAAATAAAAAAGGGAATAAGAAAAGCAAAAAAAAGATTGAGGTTAAAGTCGCAAGGAATTTGAAGACTAATCCGAAAGGTTTCTTTCAGGTATATAGAAGTACGATTAGGGACAAAATAGGCCAACTCAAAAGTTTCTCGGGTCAGCTAACTGACAGTGATAAGGTAATGTGTAGAATTTTTAACACTTATTTTCTTGGAGATGGGAAGTACAGTGCCTGCACTCTGAAGGAGGGGTGTTAATGTTGCAGTTTAAAAACTGTAGTGTAAAGCACCCTTCTGGCAAGACAGTGATGGAGTGAATGATGGTGAAAGTTTTTCTTTTTCGGGCCACCCTGCCTTGGTGGGAATTGGCCAGTGTGATAATAATAAAAAAAATTTTCTTTCAGGTTTTTATGCAGGAAGATACTAGCAAAATTCCAGAAATAAATTATGTAGAGCAGGAGGAAAATAAACTATGTACATTTAGGGTCTATGTACAATTAGGGTCACTAGTGACATGGTCCTCAAACAAATAGATAAATTAAAACCTAACAAATCCCCAGGTCCTGATGAATTGTTTGCAAGGGGTTTAAAGGAATGTAAGGAGGAACTTAGCAAACCTTTGGCTAATCTTTTCAACATATCACTACGAACTAGTATAGTTTGGAGATAGGTCCTTAGCATCGAACTATAGACCAATAAGCCTAACCTCCATAGTGGGAAAATTTATGGAATCAATAATTGCCAAGGCAATTCATAACCATCTTGAAAGGCATAAATTGATTTTTAGATGAATGGTTCAGAGAACCGACATGTTGATAAATTAGACACGTGTGCAACTCTTGGGTATCTTTATTGAGGAAACGTTTCGCCACACAGTGGCTTCATCAGTCCATACGTAGGAGAAACTTGAAGAACAGGAGGAGAATGAGGTAATCAGTCCCTCAACCTTGAGTCGATGTGTTCAGTCCATCAATCTTGAATAGAATGGACTGAACACATTGACTCAAGGTTGAGGGACTGATTACCTCATTCTCCTCCTGTTCTTCAAGTTTCTCCTACGTATGGACTGATGAAGCCACTGTGTGGCGAAATGTTTCCTCAATAAAGATACCCAAGAGTTGCACATGTGTCTAATTTATCATCATAAATTGATTAATGAATCTCAATATGGTTTTACAAAGGGGCATTCCTGCCTTATGAATTTATTAAATTTTTTCACCAAGGTATTTGAGGAGGTAGATAATGGTATGAATATGATATTGTGTATATGAACTTCAGGAAGGCTTTAGATAGAGTTCCACATTAGAGGTTATTGAGGAAAATTAAGGCATATGGAATAGGAGAGGCATGTTTGACAGATAGGCAGCAGAGAGCTTGCATAAATGGGGAGAAATTAGAGTGGGGGTGTGTCATGAGTGGTGTTCCACAGGGGTCAGTGTTGGGTCTTTTGCTGTTCACAATTTACATAAACAACATAGATGAAGGAATAAATAGTGACATAAGCAAGTTTGCTGATGACACCAGAATAGGCCATTGCATTCATTCTGGCAAGGACATTAGAGCACTTCAGGATGATTTGAATGGACAGATGCAGTGTTTGGAGAAATGTAAAGTTGTAAGTGTTGGACAGGAAAATAAATAACTAAATAATGCAGATCTTAATATTACTGATTGCAAAAAAGATTTAGGAGTTCTGGTTAGCAGTAATCTAAAACCAAGACAACAGTGCATAAATGTTTGCAGTAAGCGAACAGAATCCTTGGCTTCATATCACGACATATAAATAACTTGAGTCCTCAGGTTAGTAAGTAAGTTTTTTCAGGTATACATAAATACAGTTACATTGATTATCATACATAGCAGCATAGGTGTAGAGAACCTAGGAGACCCCAGAAAAGTCAGACAGAGTGACTTATTTCCATTGGGGTCTTTTTTCTGTAGCTCTGTATATCTTTGGTTAGGCCTCACTTAGATTATTCCATATATCAGAAATCTTTCCTATGAGGACAAACTGAGGGCTCTAAATCTGCACTCTCTAGAAAGGCATAGAATTAGGGAGGATATGATTGAGGCATATAAATGGAAAACAGGATTAAATATATGGGATGTTTATAACTTGCTGAAAGTATCCAAGATAGGAGCAGCAATGGTTTCAAGTTGGAAAAATTTAGGTTCAGAAAGGATAGGAAAGCACTGGTTTGGTAGAGTTGTGGAGGAGTGGAACAAACTCTGAGTACTGTCATTGTGTAGTTTTAAAAATAGGTTAGACAAATAGTAAGTAAGTAAGTTTATTCAGGTATACACAAATACAGTTACATAGAATTATCATACATAGCAGCATATGTGTAGAGAACCTAGGATAACCCAAAAAAGTCAGACAGAGTGACTTATTTCCATTGGGGTCCAGTTTCTGCAAACAGAAATCACTCCCTATGAAAGCAAAAGACTTGGCAAGCGATGCAACATACCCCCAGTGAAAACTAGGGGTGCTACTGGTACACTAAGAGAAAATACAATAAGTGTCCAGGGCCCAAGACTGTTCAACAGCCTCCCACTAGCCATAAGGGGCATTACCAGTAGACCTCTGGTTGTCTTCAAGAGGAAGCTGGACAGATGCCTAAAGTTAGTGCTGGATCAGCCGGGCTATGGTTTGTACGTTGGCGTACATGCGGCCAGCAGTAACAGCCTCGTTGATCAGGCCTTGATCCACTGGGAGGCCTGGTCGTGGACTGGGCAATGGGGGTGTTGATCCCCAGAACGCCCTCCAGGTAGACTCCAGGCAGGCAGGTAGGTAGGTAGAGTGGGTGTGGGTGGGTGGGTGGGTGTGAGTTAGACCTGACTGGCTTGTGCTGGTGGGTTTGATGCCGTGCTCCAACCTTCTTAAGTGGATGTGCCTTACACCTGACAGGCTTTGGCCAGTTGATTAGGCTGGTAGGTGACTTGGACCTACCTAATGTGGGTCAATAGACCTGCTGCAGTGCTCTTTCCTTATGTGGAATGAGTCAATTTGCAATGTTGAATGAATGAAACTATTTGACATTAATTGTTACACAGTGTATCATTAGTATTGTAGTAGGCACTTAATTAAACAATCTTGTTTCATTCAGTGCTTTAATTGCTTTTTAAATCTTGTCTTCCTAGGGTGATGATGTTTGTAAGGCTTTTACCATTGTGGCCTCTCAGACCTCTGCTCGCAAGTTCTCAGGCAGCCTCGTCCTTAATCAACCCCTTCAATATTCTACTCGCAACCTTTACCAGTTTAAATTGGTTGCCTCAGTGAGTAACTTAATTTAATGCATTTTAAAAGTGTTAGCTTTTACATTTCTAAGAATATCTCTGTAAGATTTTAAGTAAATTTCACTCGTGTAGTAAGTTACTGTCAGCTAAATTGAATATTGGTCATGAAAATGCTGGCACACTTTTGGAGGAAGTAGACCAAAGGTTATAATAATTTATATTCCTATTCTTCAAGATGATTGTGCAGAGCCTTTATGGTAGTATATATTTTTAATACTATTTTTTTTGTAGTTTGAGATGCATCTCATTTCTTTAGATGGCTAAATAGAGAATAAACAAATATTAATACAGTACTGTTTGAACTGAATTTTGAATATGTATGAAACTAATGATGTGCATTGAATCTTTACCACATCTCATTACCTTACACAAACTTCAACATGACGATGGCAGGATGGAGGGCAGGTGTCAAGCGTGGGTGTAGTGATACGAGTGAGAGATGTGCAGAATTCCCCTCCAGTTTTCTCTGGCTCCCTCACTGGCATTATTACCGAGGATGATGCCATTGGTACCCGAGTCATGAGCCTTCAGGCAGCAGACGGTGACACTGGAGCTCCTAGACCTATCAGATATGAACTTATTACCAGTGAGTATTTTATCATACACCTGTACGTGCTCTTCTGAGCTAACTGGGTGTCCAGCATTAATACATGTGTACTTATCAGAATAATTTTGTAGTTTTTTCTGTGAGCTTCTGATAAGTTTATGCTATGGTTATTGTTGTTAGTTTACCAAAAGACTTTTTCATTGATTTGTATCTTTTACTGGTGTATCTTGGAATTACTGTCAGTCATTACTTGATTATTCTATATTTTCCCTATCTGAAATTTTTAATTTTTTCAACAGACACACATACTTAAGTACAGTGGTGGAAGCCATAAGATACTCAGCAATGTAAGCAAAACTGTAGCCACGCTAAAATAATAATATACATGTAATAGTAAAAGCTTAGTTCAGTATTTATATTATAACATGAGCAGGAGAGAGATACTTTCCTCTCCCATTATACTGCCAAATGTTTTGATCTGAAGAACACACTGGATGTGACTTGACCTTGGCTGTCTCCTCGCCTTTCGAGGCCCTGACTCAATATAATGTTCCTCCATTCTTATGTTCTTAAGTGTGTGGGTTGCTGTTGGTGTTTTTGATAAGGACTTGTCTTGTATGGGCCAGTAAGCCTGCTGCAGTGTTCCTCCATTCTTATGTCAGGCTTCTCCCCAAGACTGACCAAAATATCTCCCAGTTCTGTTATAAATTGTTTTAGCTTTAGTATTTTAATTATTTATTCTTTGATGCTATTTTACTATTTTTAGTGAAAGCAAAATTGTATTCATTCAGAGAAAGGGTAAGATAAATTGATTAGAAAGGTAAAGATTGTCTAATAAATTTATTTAAGGTTAAGTCATCTTAATTCATTTTGGTAACATGTAGCATCTCTTTCTTTGTAGATCCACTGGACTTCTTCACTTTAGATGCCAAATCTGGTGAGCTTCGCACTGCAAAACCACTGGATCGTGAAGCCCTACAGTCTCCTGATGGTGTGGTCAAAGTCAGGGTCAAGGTGAGTCAAGTGACTGTAATTAGACAAGGTCAAGAGTGAGAAAAATCATTAGGATCAAATATCGGTGTTTATTAAACAAATATTGTAGGCTAGACAAGCTTGATGAATTTGTTGATGCTGATCAAGAACCTTTGCAGGTTGATGAAGATTTTGTTCCAGATTACTGAAAATACAAAAAAAAAAAAAAGAGAGGTACTCTTTCCTAATGGTAGTGAAAGATGACTAAAGCCACCTCATGACAAGGCTTTTGTCTTATAACATTTACTGTACTTTTGTTTTTGCACTGTTCCTGTCACTCTCCTCAAGAATTTTCTCTTATTTCAGGCTTATGAGACAATCAATGGGAGCCCCATTGGTACAAAAGATACAGAAACTGTAGCTGATGTAACCATTACTATTCGTGATGTGAACGATGAGCCTCCATCCTTCAACAAACGGGAGTATCGAGCCTCTGTGCCGGAAAATGTTCCCGATGGGACCCCTCTTCCTAACCTTGACATGTTTGTCCAGGATACTGATGTGGTAGGTAGTTAAGAGCTGGTCTGGCTCTGTTCCTGTCATAGTTGTCAGAGGAAAAGATAGCAAAAAATATCTTTAGGTTTAGTTTTGATAAATGATTCTCTGCATAACTGAAGCATGGTAGAGTATCTGAGTGGACTCTCCTCTATGATTGTGATTAGACATCCTGACTTCCTAATTCATAGTTTCTTTTGTATCCTATGGACTTAAGGTGATGTTTGGATTAATATGAAAAGCAAGTGCTTCATGGTCTGACGTTTCTCATTAGGGTTCCAACTCAGTGTTCAGCTTACGCCTTGTGGATGCGTCTGGAATTTTCAGTGTGGAGCCACAGGTGGCCTCAGGATCATCTTCTGTCAGCATCAGAGTGGCTCATGGACCCCTCGACTTTGAGAATCCCAACCAGCGCAAGTTCCTCTTGCAGGTATGCCAAATATTTACATATGTACAAGATACTGTACATATTGAGCCCTATTAGATGAGCTAATGCAGTTCATTAAACTTCAGGTCCTACAATATCCTTATATCTTCCCCCTCCCCCTCTAAAAAAAAATCTAAAACTAGTTTGAGTTTGTTGATAATCCTCGGCATCCTACACATTATTATTGCTGCAAAATATGTGCATGTTATTTGTGTGTATAGTGCAACTTTTTCCTATATTATATGGAGGGGAGCTAGAGAGGAAGGAGAGAGGGGAAAAAAAATTTGAGCAATTTAATCAAATATACAAGGTTTGCCTATGATTGTTGAAAAACTAATTCTTTGTTTCTTTACTGCAGGTGATTGCAGAGGAGACCTTAACAAATCCTCGGCTGTCATCCACAGCTACAGTTGTTGTCTCTGTCACTGATACTAATGACAATTCACCACAGTTTGACCAGGAGGCTTACACAGCAGTTGTCTCAGAAACTGCCAACCCTGGCACTGTTGTTACTACCATCGTTGCCTCTGACCGGGATACCGGGCAGTTTGGCACTGATGGAATAAAATATTCACTCTTTGGTAATGGTGCTGAAAAGTAAGTGGTGGCACTAATCATGCCTTTCTTTAATGCTCCACCATAGAATAAAACAGGCAATGACAGAACTGACAGAGATCTGCTTTTTCAGTATTGTAAGAGTTTTGTCTTAAAATTGACTAAATTTCTGTTAGTACATAAATATTAATGGTATGATAACACCAATATGATGATGAATTAGACACATGCCACTTCTTGGTACCCTGTTTTGTAGAAGTTTTGCCAATCAAGACAACAGTACTGAACTACTACTATTAAGTTGGGGACTGATTACCTCATCTTCTGTCTTTGTTTTATAATTCTGCTAGTTTGAGGGACTGATTACCTCCTCTTCTACAGTCTTCTGTTTATGTCCCTGTATTGTATTGATAAAGCCACTGGTTGGCAAAATTACTATAAAATAAAGATGCCCCGATTTTGCATATTTGTTAAATTTATATTATTTTTTTTATCAACATTTACTGATCTCTGCAATAGTACAAACCTAATCATTAGCTGTACTATATATCCCAGCATCTGAATCTCAGTTACTTCTCTCATTATGGTACTAAGAAACAGATCACTAGATTTTTTTTTCAATAAACTAGCCATATCCCACCAAGGCAGGGCAACCTAAAACAAAAAATGAAAGTTTTTTGTTTTAGAAAACCCAGATGGTTGTGTAAATGAATATGCATGTACATGCATGTTTAGTATGACCTAAGTGTAAGTAGAAGTAGCAAGATAGACGTGTTATCCCACGTGTTTATGAGACGGAGAAAAGTCACCAGTAATCCTACCATCATGTAAAACAATTACAAGTTTCTGTTTCACAGTCACTTGGCAGGACAGTAGTACACCTCCCTGGGTGGTTGCTATCTACCAGCCTTCTACCTGTATCACTAGAATTATACATTAAAACAGATGTATTATTCAAGTTAAAGATCTCTCTCTTAATTACACCATTGTTTCTCTTAGGTTTTGAAAAAAATAATTTTTTTTTGAGATGTGGTATAGTTTTGATTACTATGCATCTATTTAAGGCTTCCGTACAGCAGCAGTTTTAACTTGTCCTTTGTGATTTTTCCATTAAACATTCTGCTACTCAGAAGGATGATATGATCTTCACACCTGTCTTTAACTAAACTAAACACTGTTGATATTAGGTTAATAAATAAAATTTTGATTTCTGTGTAGGAGTAATTCATTGTTATTATTTCTCTAATTAATAGACAATTCAGTCAAATCTCAGCTTGTAGTAAAAGAGTGAACAGTTTTCATTCCTAATATCAAAATTCTTATTGATCTTCACTTTGTCAGACTTTTTTGGGTTATCCTAGGTAATTTACAATATGTATGATAATTGTACTTGTGTGTACCTGTGCCTAAATAAACTTGCGTACTTTTCCCATTAAAGGTTTGATGTTGATGCCACGTCTGGAGTGATGACAGTGGCTTTCTGTGACACTCCCGGCCACCGCAACTGTCTTGATTACGAGGAACGTCCAACCTATTTTCTCTCATTTCAGGCATGTCTCTTTTTCCCTCATTCATACATGTTTTGCCATTTTTTTTTTCAAGCAAATGCTCTTTTTTATACTAAACTTTTCTCTTCCACTGCAGAAGAAAATTCTTATATTGGAGGATGCCTGTTCTAGTGTTAATGAAATAACTAGTGATTTTGTTTGATTGTTCTTGTGTGGTGGGTTTAAAAATTATATCACTTTTGTAGTACTATGACCAGAAAAATTCCTCACCTGTGGTATGGCTTATTTCATATCACTGTTTCTATTCTTATCATGCTGTTTAATGCCAGACCTATACTGAGTTTTTGTAACTCACCCAGTATAATTCTTTTTAGAGTTTAGCAAAATCAGTTTTAAGACCCATTAAGCTACAGATTATGTACATGTGTCTGTCTGTTACTTGCCACATATATAATTCCAGCTTTATTTCCCAGGCCACAGATGCAGGTGGTACAGGCCACACAACAGTGGTGCCAGTACGCGTAACACTTGCTGACAGTAATGACAACCCTCCAAAGTTCTCTCGTCAGCAGTACCGTGCTGTTATTGACGAGGGAGCACCCGATTTTGACCCACCGTTGTTTGTCACGGTGAGTATTTTTTATGGCCTAAAACTATACACTGTATTGCATCTAGATAATGAAGATTTTTGTATCATATCAGCCATTTCTCAGCAGTAATTCTGATATAAAAGTGTGAAAATCTATGAATTTTAGCTAAAAAATGAGGTTTCTCTTAAAAGCGTTCAGAATGTTCTACATCGACAAATTATGCAGTAAAACACCATTTTAGCACATTTTTCTGAGTTTTTTAATTAGTGTTTTGTCTTGCTTCGGTAACTTTCCCAAGTAAAAATTGCTGATAAATTCAAGTATAACAGATGTGACTCTCTTTGTGATTCTGTCTTTGCTTTAAGGGTTATTTTGATCCTTCCACTATTATTGCAACTTCATTATCATTCTTCAGGCTGAAGATCCGGATGCCACTTCTCGCGTTGTTTACAGCATCGTGGGTGGTGACCCTACAGGACTATTCACTATTAACCCAGACTCTGGTAGAATTCGTGTTGCTAGTGAATCTGGACTGGATATATCCAACCTGAAGACTGACTACATTATTCTCACTGTAGAGGTAAGATAATCCTCATATTGTTTTCTTTAGATAGCCTTACACTCTTGCAATGTACGTATATAGTTTTCTCGTTCATTGTCTGCATTTCACTACTTGTGGCAGTATCTTGTTTAGTGCTTCTTCATGAATTACTTTTTTTTTTTTTCCAATGAACCAACCATATCCCACCAAGGCAGGGTGACTTTAAAAGAAAAATGAAAGTTTTTCTTTTCACATTTAGTAATTTATATAGGAGAAGGGATTACCATACTACACATGCATGTACACACATCTATATTTACACACCTGACGACACTGGAGGACAGGAGAGAAGGGGGACATGATAACGACATATAAAATACCGAGAGGAATTGACAAGGTGGACAAAGACAGGATGTTCCAGAGATGGGACACAGCAACAAAGGGACATAATTGGAAGTTGAAGACACAGATGAATCACAGGGATGTTAGGAAGTATTTCTTCAGTCACAGAGTAGTCAGGAAGTGGAATAGTGTGGGAAGCGATGTAATGGAGGCAGGATCCATACATAGCTTTAAGCAGAGGTATGATAAAGCTCATGGTTCAGGGAGAGTGACCCAGTAGTGACCAGTGAAGAGGAGGGGCCAGGAGCTATGACTCAACCCCTGCAACCATAACTAGGTGAGTACACCCAATTTTCTTAACAGTTCTTGTTCATTTCTTCTTATTTCCATGGGAAAGTGGAAAAGAATTCTTCCGTAAGCCATGCGAGTTGTAAGAGGCAAATACAGTGCCGAGAGCAAGGGGCTAGTAACCCCTTCTCCTGTATAAATTACTAAATTTAAAAAGAAAAAACTTTCATTTTTCTTTTTACGTTGCTCTGCCTCGATGGGATACAGCAGATTTGTTGGAAAAAATGGGGGTTACAAGCTCCCAGCATTTTAGTCACCTCTTATGACACGCATGGCTTACAGAGGAAGAATATAAAACTGTTGTTGTCCTAAAATATGACACTTTATTGAGGGTCTTATACGATGTTTGTTGTAGCAATCTCTCATTGTCTTGGTTTTTATCATAACTGATATCAGTTCCTATGATCCTGCTGTGAGTATTCTTCACTTCTTTCTCAGGCCAATGATGGTGAGGGCTCTCACACTGCCAACATAAAAGTGTCAGTCCGGGATGCCAACAACAATGTTCCAGTCTTCAGCAAGAACCCGTACCTGGCTGCTGTTCAGGAAAATGCTCCTGAAGGTATGTCATGGGCAGCTTTGTCTAAGGAATCATTATTTATATGTTATAAGAATTCATCTGTTTGCATGTGAAAGCCAGCTCTTCAAATGAATTGCAGTGTTATATGTTCATATATAGAAGAGTATCTCTTGTTTAGTGGTCATCTGCTCTGTGTTAAATTTCTAACCTAGCAATTGTTTAATATTTACAACTGTCAAATACTGATTTTTGCTGTACTATAAATAGCTCAATTAGAGTAGACATCAATGGGTTACTCATACAATAATGCTAATTCTGGTCTTTCCAGGGAGTGTGGTAGAGCAGGTTTCCGCCAGTGATGCAGACACAGGAGCCAATGCTGCCATCGTATACCGCATCCATCGTGGAGGATATGACGATTTTGCTATTGATGGTACTACAGGCATCATCACAGTTGCCCGAAAGCTTGATTATGACCGGCGAAAGAGCTACGATATTGAAATCGTAGCCACAGACAGAGGTTAGCAAAAATAATCTCTTAAATTACAACATCACTAGATACAGTGGGGAAGCTGTCATGTGCAAAAGTTTATCATTGTTCTAAAGTGATTAAAATAATTGCATTTGAAAAGTAATTTATCATAATTAAGGGATGAAAACATTAAAAACCTATAAATATGTCATTCTTATATTATATACATTTCTTTCTGACCCCCACTTCTTAAAAATATTTTAAATTTATGTGAAACTAACATTTATAATCACTTTGTTGAGTCATATTCTGAATTCATATTCAGATTCTTTGTTTCAGATCATTGCATATACAAAATTTACTATAAATAGAAAGTCCATAAGATGCTCAGCATTCCCGGCAGTCTTTAATTAATGTTTTTGTGAAGGGATTCAGGGAATCTGGTAAGCTGGACTTGAGTCATAGGAAGGCAATGCCTGCATTCCGAAGGAGAGGTGGGAATGTTGCACACTTCTGGAAAGACGTCGATTGATAATGTTTACAAATGTGTTTTTTCTTTGGTCATCTTGTCTTGGCAGGAGATGGCCATTGAATTAACAAAAAATATAGGATGTGGAGTCATTGTTGTAATAAAAAATAATTTTCTATACAGTACATACTGAGAATATTTTAAATTTAAATACCTGGTAGTTGCAATGCCATTAGTCAAAAATAATACATCAGCTTTCCTTTCTCTTCTTAAACTAGGCATTCCACAACAGACTTCTACCAGTACTCTCACTGTCAGCATCATCAACAACAATGACAAGAGTCCTTACTTCACCCCAACTACCCAGCGTACACAGGTCAGTAAAAACATCTTATCACAACTTTATTTTTTAACTTACCACTTGATGGTAGTGATAAGTCTTTCATTGGAAGTGTGAGGGGGCCCAAGACTGTTCAGCTGCCTCCCAGCATACACAAGGGGAATTACCATTAGACCCCTGGCTGTTTTCAAGAAGGCATTGGAAAGGCACCTAAAGTCAATACCTGACCAGCTGAGCTGTGTTTTATACATCGGTTTGCATGTGGCCAACAGTAACAGCCTGGCTGATCAGGCCCTGATCCACCGTGAGGCCTGGTCACAGGCTAGGTCGTGTGTGCATTGACCTTCAAAACCCTCTCCAGGTATACTCCAGGTGTTTAATAATTTGACTGTGCTGTTTATTTTTGAATTTCCTGTGGAAATTATATTAACTTCAATATCAAATTGGGGAGGAGGAGTATGGAAGAAGTGAATGTTTTCAGATACTTAGGAGTTGACTTAAGAAATCGCAATGACACGATTGCAAATAAACCATACCCCCGGCCGGGATTGAACCCGCGGTCATAGTCTCAAAACTCCAGCCCGTCGCGCTAGCCACTAGACCAGCTAGCCACAATAAGATTCATCCAACTAGGTATATTTCTACACCATAGGAAAGTTAGCACAGGCACCTCTGTGACCACAAATGCAAGTTTTTACAGACGAATCTCCAGCTAGCGTGGCCGTGACGAACTCTAGCTCAAGTCCCTTCACTGCCGTCAACATGACTTAAGAAATCGTAATGACACGATTGCAAATAAACCATACCCCCGGCCGGGATTGAACCCGCGGTCATAGAGTCTCAAAACTCCAGCCCGTCGCGCTAGCCACTAGACCAGCTAGCCACAATAAGATTCATCCAACTAGGTATATTTCTACACCATAGGAAAGTTAGCACGATTTCTTAAGTCATGTTGACGGCAGTGAAGGGACTTGAGCTAGAGTTCGTCACGGCCACGCTAGCTGGAGATTCGTCTGTAAAAACTTGCATTTGTGGTCACAGAGGTGCCTGTGCTAACTTTCCTATGGTGTAGAAATATACCTAGTTGGATGAATCTTATTGTGGCTAGCTGGTCTAGTGGCTAGCGCGACGGGCTGGAGTTTTGAGACTCTATGACCGCGGGTTCAATCCCGGCCGGGGGTATGGTTTATTTGCAATCGTGTCATTACGATTTCTTAAGTCATGTTGACGGCAGTGAAGGGACTTGAGCTAGAGTTCGTCACGGCCACGCTAGCTGGAGATTCGTCTGTAAAAACTTGCATTTGTGGTCACAGAGGTGCCTGTGCTAACTTTCCTATGGTGTAGAAATATACCTAGTTGGATGAATCTTATTGTGGCTAGCTGGTCTAGTGGCTAGCGCGACGGGCTGGAGTTTTGAGACTCTATGACCGCGGGTTCAATCCCGGCCGGGGGTATGGTTTACTTAGGAGTTGATGTGTCGGCAGATGGATTTATGAAGGATGAGGTTAATCATAGAATTGATGAGGGAAAAAAGGTGAGTGGTGCGTTGAGGTATATGTGGAGTCAAAAAACGTTATCTATGGAGGCAAAGAAGGGAATGTATGAAAGTATAGTAGTACCAACACTCTTATATGGATGTGAAGCTTGGGTGGTAAATGCAGCAGCGAGGAGACGGTTGGAGGCAGTGGAGATGTCCTGTCTAAGGGCAATGTGTGGTGTAAATATTATGCAGAAAATTCGGAGTGTGGAATTAGGAGAAGGTGTGGAGTTAATAAAAGCATTAGTCAGAGGGCAGAAGAGGGGTTGTTGAGGTGGTTTGGTCATTTAGAGAGAATGGATCAAAGTAGAATGACATGGAAAGCATATAAATCTATAGGGGAAGGAAAGAGGGGTAGGGGTCGTCCTCGAAAGGGTTGGAAAGAGGGGGTAAAGGAGGTTTTGTGGGTGAGGGGCTTGGACTTCCAGCAAGCGTGCATGAGCGTGTTAGATAGGAGTGAATGGAGACGAATGATACTTGGGACCTGACGATCTGTTGGAGTGTGAGCAGGGTAATATTTAGTGAAGGGATTCAGGGAAACCGGTTATTTTCATATAGTCGGACTTGAGTCCTGGAAATGGGAAGTACAATGCCTGCACTTTAAAGGAGGGGTTTGGGATATTGGCAGTTTGGAGGGATATGTTGTGTATCTCTATACGTATATGCTTCTAAGCTGTTGTATTCTGAGCACCTCTGCAAAAGCAGTGATAATGTGTGAGTGTGGTGAAAGTGTTGAATGATGATGAAAGTATTTTCTTTTCGGGGATTTTCTTTCTTTTTTTTTGGGTCACCCTGCCTCGGTGGAGACGACCGACTTGTTGAAAAAAAAAAAAATAAATAAATATTAGTTTTGGATATACCTGGAGGGTATAAATTTATACATAATTTGTTTTTACATGCATGAGAAATTGAAATTTATTGTTACTCAGATGCTTTTCAGATTTAGTTTTCAGGGTGATTTTTTTTATATTAACTTTTAATCATGATAATTTATAAATAACACTGTTAACCTTTTCTGCTTGTTTCTTATTAGGTGTCAGAGGATTTGCAAGAAGGCACAACATTCTACAAGCTGACAGCACAGGACCCTGATGTGGAGGGAGAGGGAGCTCTTGTCTTTGGGGTCAACTTACCAGTGTCTGCAGTTGATAGTGAGGGACGTCCTGTGGAAGGACCTCAAAGGGATGCCCTAGCAGTGAGTTAACTTCCTGATCTCTCTTCCTTTCGCTAAAATTATCTGTATTTCTATCTGAATTTTTTTTTTTTTGCTATATCAGCCATCTCCCACCAAGGTAGGGCATACCAGGAGGGTGTTCCAGGGGTCAATGCCCCCATGGCCCAGTCCATGACCAGGACTTGTGAATCAAAGAAGGCAACATATTCACCATCATTCATTCAGTAGCTATTGTACTAGAAGTGTGTGAATGTCACAGCTCAAGCTCAAATATCCCTGGTAACTGCAACAGCCCCACCTATCTTTCAGAGAGGAGGCCATGTATAACAGGATCTGGATTATTGATATGTATATACAGTATACTGTGTACCATGCTAAATAATTTGTGAAATCAAATATAATTTTTTTATGAAATTATTTAGGTCATTGGGATAATACAATATGTAGTGAATCTGTATAATACTTAAAGCCTATGAATTTCTTAAATAGAAAATGCACTTGCAGCAAGTTTTTAATGAATATTTATTTCATAATGGCTTTCAAGATTTCTTGGGAAAATACTAATAGGCATTTTTTTTTACTTCTCACATAAGTGATTATGTGTGAATGATGGTGAAAGTGTTTTTTTTCTTTTTTGGGTCACCCTGCCTTGGTGGGAGATGGCTGACCTATTGAAAAAAATTAAAAATATTATTATAATAAATGGAATCATTAAAAAGCTCTGAAGTTTTTATGTAATACAGTATTTAATTATAAAAAGAATTTTTTTTTTAATTAACTGCTTCTTCTTTATGGTATAATTTACCATCATATAAAAATTTGGTAAATAATTATTTTCATATAGTCAGACTTGAGTCCTGGAAATGGGAAGTACAATGCCTGCACTTTAAAGGAGGGGTTTGGGATATTGGCAGTTTGGAGGGATATGTTGTGTATCTGTATACATATATGCTTCTAAACTGTTGTATTCTGAGCACCTCTGCAAAAACAGTGATAATGTGTGAGTGTGGTGAAAGTGCTGAATGATGATGAAAGTATTTTCTTTTTGGGGATTTTCTTTCTTTTTTGGGTCACCGTGCCTCGGTGGGAGACCGCCGACTTGTTGAAAAAAAAAAAAATTATTTTTCAGTGAATGCACATATAAGTGCATTTTTACCTAAATGTTTCATATCTGTGTAAATTATTATATACTTATGTAGAACACAATCATGAATTCTTACAAAAAATAGTGAATATTTTACATTACAGAACAGTGCTATTATTTTTACCTGTTCACCACTACTTTATTTTTTCTCTAAAGTTCCTCCCAGCCCCACCCTCCTCTTGTATATATATATATACATGTATATACCTAGTCAGACCGAAACATTATCATAAGTTTCATTCTCCTATGTTAAGGTTATTTGTGTATTGCAAATTCCTGTTTTGTTTATACAAAAATTGCATGATGCCCTTAAAAAAGAAAACTAATTTATACAGTTAACATTATAATCACGTATGACACAGGATGTGTTTGTGGTTGACCCCGTCACCGGCAGTGTGACTGTAGCGAGGAAGCTCAACCGAGCTGTAGCCACAGAGGTGACTTTGGCTGTTACTGTCACTGATATGTCAGCAACACCACCGCAGGTTAGTGCAGCTTTGCATGTTACAGTAAGTTCTCGACTTACAAACACATTCGGGGCCTCAAGAATTGTGTGTAATATTCACAATACAGGAAGACTTCAACTTAAGAACACATTGGGGACCTTCTGTATTGTGTATAATAATGATATAATAATGATATACACAGTATAGGAGATTCTCAGTGTTTGTAAATCGAGGACTTATTGTACATGCAACGTCAGTTTGTCTTCAAATATACAGTGGACCCCCGGTTAACGATTTTAATCCGTGCAAGAGGGCTCATCGTTATGCGAAATAATCGTTATGCGAATGAATTTTCCCCATAAGAAATAATGGAAATCAAATTAATCCGTGCAAGACGCCCAAAAGTATGAAAAAAATTTTTTTTTACCACATGAAATGTTAATTTTAATACACACAAACTGAAAAAGGCATGCACAATTAAATGACACTTACTTTTATTGAAGATCTGGTGATGATTGATGGGATGGGAGGAGGGAGAGCATTATCTTCTTACTGTTTAGAAGGGGAATCCCCTTCCATTACGACTTGAGGTAGCAAGTCCTTTTCCGGGGTTACTTCCCTTCTTCTTTTAATGCCACTAGGACCAGCTTGAGAGTCACTGGACCTCTGTCGCACAACAAATCTGTCCATAGAGCTCTGTACCTCCCGTTCCTTTACGATTTGTCTAAAATGGGCCACAACATTGTCATTGAAATAGTCAACAGCACGGCTTGCAACAGCTGTGTCAGGGTGATTTTCATCTATAAAGGTTTGCAGTTCAACCCACTGTGCACACATTTCCTTAATCTTTGAAGTAGGCACAATGGATTCCACAACTGGCATAGGCTTCTCAGGGTTAGCCCCAAACCCTTCAAAATCTTTCTTAATTTCCATACTAATTCTCACCCTTTTTACCACAGGGTTGGCACTAGAAGCTTTCTTGGGGCCCATGGTCACTTATTTTCCAGAAACAGCACCGAAAATACTGTAATAATACGAAATATTCCGAGTGTATGCTTGGATGTTACCGCGGAGGCTGGCTGGTAAACAATGGGACGGAGCGGCACATGTGAGGCTGGCTGAGGGCACATTGGACGCGTCTCGGACGAAAATCGGTATGCGGGTTTTTAATCGGTATGCGCGGCAAAAATTTTGCGATAAAAGTAATCGTTATGCGGAAAAATCGCTATGCGATGCCATCGTTATGCGGGGGTCCACTGTATCAACCAAAGTCAGTACATAGTAACTGCAAATATCTGAAATGGTCAGGACCTAAGCCTCTTTGTAATTCTGAATTTTATGGAAAATTTGAATCAGAACAAAAAAATATTCAAACGACCAGTACTGAAAATAAATTTTTTTCCAAAAATGAAAATATAACACATTCAAATAATTAAATATTAAAAGTCAATGCATATGATAAATTAAGTTGTCATTAGTAGCCGACCAAAATTTAAAAAAAACAGTTGCCTTTCTTGATCAATTTTGAGCCCAATAAAATGATCTTTGGCCTAAATGAGCATATGCAAAAATAAAAATTTGAAAAAAAAAAAAAACCTGCTCAGAAAATACAGATAACAGCAGAAGAAACATTAATTAAATTCTTATAATGTCAAATTTTATGTATGATTGAGTCTTTGGTTCAATAAATTTATATAAATATAGTAGGTACGTTTAGGATCAACTTGCTTTTTGCAGTTTTCATAAGCAGCCTCTCCTCACTTAACGACGGGGTTCCGTTCTTAAGACCATGTCGGTAAACGAATTCATCACTAAGTGAGGAGCATACTATAATGCTGGTGGGTTTGTGTCAGCCATCTTTGATATTGTTTTAACGTCACCTTTGCACCATTTATAACATTTTTGGTATATTTTTAAATGTTTATACAGTAGTGTACTGTATATGGTAATAAACAGAACAGAGGAAATCAGCTCTAATATACATTACGGTGGTGCAGCAGCAGCTGTATTTATTTAGGCATGCATACTGGTCAGAGAGTCCGTCATAAGTCCAAGGCGGTGGTAAACAAGTACGTTGCTAAGTGAAGAGAGGCTGTATTGTTTTATAACATTTTGTATATTTTGGGGTAATTATAGACACTGTCATAGCTGAAATTATCATCAATTTATGTTTTATATTGTTTTTAATTTCCTAAACATAACAAAGTACGTATTATATTATGTTCCTGTCAGAGTCCTCATCCATTTCTCCTCAGCCAAAAAAAAAAATGACTGGGTATTCTTTCTGTAGGTGGGTCATGGCAACCTTGTCATAACCATTGTGGATGTTAATGACTTCCCGCCAGTCTTTGCTCCTCCATGGAGTACTGAGAGTCCAGTCATTCATGTGAAGGTTGCAGAGGAGCTGCCTCGAGGCTCCCTCTTGACAACCATCACCGCTTCTGATGTCGATTCCAACATAGGTAAAAATAATTGTCTGTAGGTAGTAGGTTGGTAGACAGCAACCACCCAGGGAAGTACTACCGTCCTGCCAGATGACTGTGAAACAAAAACCTGTAACTGTTTTGCATGATGGTAGGATTGCTGGTTTCTTTTTCTGTCTCATAAACACGCTAAGATAACAGGGATATCTTGCTACTCCTATTTACACTTTGGTCACACTTCACAGACACCACATGCATATATATATATACATACATCTAGGTTTTTCTCCTTTTTCTAAATAGCTCTTGTTCTTTTTTATTTCTTCTATTGTCCATGGGGAAGTGGAAAAGAATCTTTCCTCCGTAAGCCATGCGTGTCGTATGAGGCGACTAAAATGCCGGGAGCAATGGGCTAGTAACCCTTCTCCTGTATACAATTACTAAAAAAGAGAAGAAGAAAAACTTTAAAAACTGGGTTGCTTAAATGTGCGTGGATGTAGTGCGGATGACAAGAAACAGATGATTGCTGATGTTATGAATGAAAAGAAGTTGGATGTCCTGGCCCTAAGCGAAACAAAGCTGAAGGGGGTAGGAGAGTTTCAGTGGGGGGAAATAAATGGGATTAAATCTGGAGTATCTGAGAGAGTTAGAGCAAAGGAAGGGGTAGCAGTAATGTTAAATGACAGTTATGGAAGGAGAAAAGAGAATATGAATGTGTAAATTCAAGAATTATGTGGATTAAAGTAAAGGTTGGATGCGAGAAGTGGGTCATAATAAGCGTGTATGCACCTGGAGAAGAGAGGAATGCAGAGGAGAGAGAGAGATTTTGGGAGATGTTAAGTGAATGTATAGGAGCCTTTGAACCAAGTGAGAGAGTAATTGTGGTAGGGGACTTGAATGCTAAAGTAGGAGAAACTTTTAGAGAGGGTGTGGGTAGGTAAGTTGGGGTGCCAGGTGTAAATGATAATGGAGCCCTTTTATTGAACTTTGTATAGAAAGGGGTTTAGTTTTAAATAATACAAATTTTTTAAAAAAAAAAGGATAAAAAAGTATACAGGGTGACCCGAAAAAGAAAACTTTTTCATCTTTATTCACACTTTTACTGTCTGTATTTATTTCTTCTGTCTTCGCTGTAGGGGTGTTTCACCCAATTTAAAGTTTAAAATTTTTTTCTCCATTTATGGAAACTCGAATTTTAAAAAGGTACCGAACCTTTGTTTCCCCTGAGAAATAAATTATATAAAACTGATGATTTTAAAAGTACAGTGAAATGAAACATTCTGAAAGATACATATGCATTGACATTTTCTTTTTTAAATATTGCACAGTTCTGAGATAGACATTTTCATAGCTTTTAATAGTTCATTGCAAGAAACAGAAAGTCCATATTACAGCTTACCAATTGTATATTGTTATTGAGGGTAACATTTGTGATAGCAGAGATGGCCATTTATTTTTAAAGGGAATTTTTTCATAAAGTTTTTTATTTTTCTCCTTTGTACAGTAACTAAATAAGATTCATCAATTAAATTTTTTTCCCAAAAGTGATCGTTTTTCTTAAACCTTAACTGTGTGCAAAATTTAAACAGGTGGTTACTCCTACAAGAGCCTTCGCAGCACTTTGCTCTGGAAAATGCCAAGGTGTGGTGACGGTAAAGGACAGGCTGGACTCGAGACCAACCTGAGCTTCGCTTCATTGTGGGGGCCCATGACACGGGTTTTCCCTACTCTCACTGCCTCGGCACTGCATTGTTCGGGTTTCTTTTTTTTTTTTTTCTTGAGGGGCTAAGTGTTGAAGTAAATTTAATTTTTTTTGTTTTTTAAACTTGGCAAAACATTTGAAAAATTTAAAATTTAAGTTGTAACAGAAAATGGGGCGAGTGCATCCTAAGCATGGGTGAGTTTGTTTGTGTGTTTAATTTTTGTTTTATTTATTTTTTTGGGGGGAGCACAAAATCTGTATGGGCCTACAGTGCCTTGGGAAATAGGGGCACTCAGATTCGATAAAAAAAAGGGGTTTGTAGCCCAATTCTTAAGATTAAGAGCCCCTGTAGGGTTGATTTTTAGGAATTACTTTGGCCACACTATTTTCTGGCCCAAAATCTGGAATACCCTACCGAGAACTTGAACTGCGACACTTTCATCACCTTCAAAAAAACCATTAGAAAACCCTTTTATCTCCCTGATACCCCCGTCAACTAACTAATGAATACCACCTGGTGGTTCACATTACACTCCCTCGCCATTTGACCAAAAACAGAAATATTAATCCATTTTTAAAAAATAAACCCTGTGATACCCCCCAATACTGAAATATGTACTGGCCAAAAAACAAAAGCTTCACTTTGCTAAACTCACAAACTATTTTTAGGACTTACCATAATACCAACTTACCTCATAATTTGTTTTTTTTTTCTATTAAGAATAAAATAAGTCTGCCCAAATCCAGCCATCAAGCTTTCTAGTGGTCACTCTGTAAACCCCAAAATTTTTACTACATGTAAACCAAACAATAACCAAATTTCTGTAAACTCAGCTTTGTAACCCTTATAGAAAATAAACTTTGAATTGAATTGGTTTTACTGGGATCTACCCCCTTGGCCCCCTCAAGCTTTTTTTAAAAAACTGTGTAGGGATGTTACAGATTCTTGTTTTGTAGGAACTGTATTTTGGAGGGGTGTTTAAATTAAAAATGAGGAAAAGGGTTTCTCTCAGTTTGAATGCTGGTGTTGGCATTCTAAATTAGCAAAATAAGGGTAGAAGACATTTGGGTGTTGAACAATTTTAAATAATGAAGTGTGTAAAACATTATTGTAAAGTGAGGTGCAGCTAAACTCTGGGAATTTGTTTTTTGATAGCAGTAAAAAATTGTATGTACTAAGTGAAAGGGAAAAGACTAAACATTAGTAAAAATTAAGTATTATTTGTTTGAATTTTATTTTGCACCCTACCTATTCTGTGGGCATGAGATGCATGGGGAGAATACAAGTTAAAACAAAAGCTTAGTCTATCTGTTTTTCACCTCTTGTGCTTCTAAGTCTTTTTATTGTTCTGTTTTTTTCTTCCCAGTTTGAGTTTGTTACAATTCATGAAGGCTTTTACTTGTTTACACAGCTGGAGAAACATAAATGATGGGGGAGCCAGGTTCTTTTCTGCAGTGTATAAGGACAAGTCCAAGAATTCGCCACCAGGTCCTTGTCATCAATGTACCGCCATGATCGCGAGGGACAGTTTGGACTGTCCCTATTTCTTGCTGGTTACTTATTCCCAACTTTTTCCCGGTCCCTTCATTCCAAACACTTCTTTTTTAATCCAGCAGTGTTAACTCTCGATGTTCAAACAGTAAATTTTTTCAATCTTTGCACCCCTTTGTATAGGGGCTCACGTATTCGTAAAGTTTCTTCGTTCATTCACCTTTCACTTGTTTTGTCTCATCTTCAGTGTCACCATAAAAATTTTTTGCCTTTGATGGTGATGGGATTGTGACAGTAGGAATGTGCCATGTTGGACGGGGAAAAGTTTGGCTCTTTTGTACTCGGGGTAGCAAAGATGGCTCCCAGGAATCCCCCGCCGACAGTCGTCTTTACCAGTAGGGGTGAATCTAGATGGTCATTGTGGCATTGCCCCAACTGCTGAAAAATTCAAGAACTTTATATTGAGAAATAGTATTTAAAAAAAATTTTGCCTTTATTTTTTTTCTTATACGAAATAGCTTTTTGTTTTCCCAGGTTACAAAACATTTAAATTCTTTAATTTACAGTAATATTCTAGTGGCAGTGGCATTGAAAGGGCGGGAAAAGCTGTTTCAGATTTTCGGGATTTGATTAGAGACTTGAAATAAAAATGGGTATTGGGTACTTTTAGTCCTAGCAAAATTTAAAATTATCCCAACCTTTTTTTTAAAGGTTGTGTTTTTTTTTCCCCAATTCATAAATTATGTTACCCAAAATGTTTCCAAAGGGGACATTTTTTAACAAAACGTCGGTGTTCTGTTGAGATTCAAATTTATTTTATGAATTTCTTTTGAATGCTTTTTGTTTTGCATGGTTTTTTTTTTTAAGAGATTAAAAATTTTTAGATTACACCATACATAGTAAGCAAATGTAAAATTACTAAAAAAAAAAATTTCAATCCATTTTTTTCTGTAGCTCCACATCACCACACTAAGGTAAACGACCAGGGCCCCCTCCTTTTCAAAGGACAACTCTCCCAGTGTTGTGGAAAACCCTTTCCCTTTGGACCCACCGCTCCCATTGTCCAGGTCAGGGCTCATGATGAGCCCAGGGACCAATTCTCTATCAGGTCCCAAATTCACTGAGGGAAATGAAAAAGGGTTTAGTTATAAACTAAATTTAATGTTAAACATTGTGTTATGGTAAGTTTTGGGCCTGTTAAGAGGCTTTATGAACTTGTAATAGTTTTTTATTAAAAATTGTGGCTTGTAGTTTTAAACTGAAAATATAAGATTATTGTAATTTGAAAGTAAAATGTTAAATATTGCTAAAGTAATGAAAAATGCTTTGGCAAATCAAATTAAATTTAATGAAGTATTTCACATAGGCAGTATACTTATTTACTATCCCATTGAGGGATTCTTAAGTTGAACAAAAAATATTGAGGCTCACAACAGACATTATAACAATGTGTGCATTTGTTCTATCATTGAAAACCCACTGAATAATTATTTCATTAGTTGTGTTTGCTGTTAATGACGTTTTTTTAAAAGGGGAAAACTCTTTTTGCCACACTCATTTTCCCATATTTCTCTAACTTTTTTATTATTGTGAATATTGACCTTTTGTATTCCAACTTTTTCCCTTAATTTGGAATTTTCCAAAAATTTTGCCTCATAAATGTCTTAGACCTTTTTAAATCTTGCAACATCAATTTTGACTGTGTGACAAGAAGCCTTGGGGTTACAGAATCATTCTGGCTGGACCCCGGACGGGTACCGTATCCCCGCCGAATCTGCTGGCCCTCCCAGCAAATATAACCCCCACCATATTGGGCCCAAAATCTCATTGGGACAGGTTCCCCCTTTGTGTGAAAAT